AGTTGACCTTTAGAACTCTTGATTGCTTACAATGGGTTAATCAAAACCTTGGACAAAGAAATAGTAATAATATATTATTTATAATTAAGCTCTTTTTGGAAGGCCGAAGCTTGGCAAAAGTACCCATATAATTCCAACTAATACTGACTTTCATTTCACATCACATCAACAGCCTTTAATTAATAGTCTACTGTTGGACACAGTCCTTAGAAAGGAGGTTTTTACGGGTTGGTATAGGATTTGGTTCAAGTTTTCCTTCTCTTTCCAGTGTTGTTGCCCTGCGTAGTTTGCTCCCTTAGTCTGCTCTTACGACACGTTTTTGATGAATAGGGGAACACCACATGGACAATCTTTCTTTTTTTAAAAGACAACTCCCGCACTAGGAATAAATACTGTGTCGCGGGGGACTTTACAAACATACATGAAACGGACACAGAGAACACCCAGACTCAGAAAAACAATTTGTGGATCACACAAACTGTTGTCCCATGTGGGTATCGGACTCGCAACACTCAGCGTAGTAGTGAGCGGCGTGGCGACCGCTTAAACCACTACGCCATCCGTGCAATCTAATTTATTATACTGATTTGAAGTAGCTATATCTTATAAACGTATTCTAGGTTGTTACGTATGTATGTCGGGGCACCAGGGACTTCCTTTCTAGGGTATACCTGGTTCCCCGGCTATTAGTACCCGAGACGGCGTGCGGTTTTAGTCGGTTCGAGTCCGACATGCCACCGATAGAGGTGGTATCCGAGGGGATTTCCGCACGGAAAAAAAAACGTTGTTACGTGTGTGCTACGTTGTAGGAACAAATGAAACGTATGCAGGTTGAGTGCGTAATGACGTTTATTCTCATAAACAATAGTGTGCGCAGACACCATGAATACTTGAGTTTACAAAAAGATAAGTATTCTATCAGTCAATCTAGCTTTCATAGTACAAGCTCTGCTTAGTTTGAAACTAGATGGCGTTGTGTCAGATGTCCGAAATATATTATGATTATTTTATTATTATTAGTATTTCTATCAATCTTTTACTGAATTTTTACTTTGCTTGATATAATTAATTGTTATACTGCTCAAAATACTTTTACCTTGAATACTCCTCACTGTAACACCATTTAATACAGTATTTTTTTAATACAGCAAATAAATATGATTCTGATTTATTGTTCTTGTTCTCCTCTTAGTTTTTCGGCTAATTTATGTTTCAGGATGTCAAGCAAACATATGGGTTTAATTACCTTACACCGGTTTCCCAGAGGTGAGTATAAGGAGAGGTGTGTAGAATTAATAAATTCAATAGAAACATTACAGTATGACGGTAAAGCTGCTACTACGTCTAATTATTGTTGCTGATTCACGATGACGCCAATACATTTTTATTTGCCCTCAATACAGTAACCTATTCTATGAGTGTATCAATTAACATCATATAGACAATAGACAATAGAAAAACGTTAAGTGATAAAACTGTATTAATACACTTGAAGCAAATCGGGAAAGTAAAAAAACTTGAACGATTCGTACCTCATGAATTAACTGAATCGAACACGTGTCAACTGCTGTGTTACTATGCTCAACCGACACAATAATGAAGGGATTTTAAATCAAATCATTACTTGTGATGAAAAGTGGATACTGTACGATAATCGGAAGCGCTCGTCGCAATGGCTGAACCCGGGAGACAAACCCAAATCCTGCACTAAACGAAAATTGACTCTGAAAAAGTTACTTGTGAGTGTTTGATGGACTAGCGCCGGTGTCGTTCACTACAGCTTTTTGAAATCTGATATCTATTGTCAGCAACTGCAAACCATGAAGGAAGAACTAGCTGGTTAACAACCGAAATTGGTCAATCGCTCTAGGCCACTGCTGCTTCACGACAACGCAAGACCAAACACTGCACAACAAACAACCACTAAGCTAGATGAGCTACAATTGGAATGTCTGCGACATCCACTCCCCGGACCTTGCTCTAACAGATTACTATTTTTTCCGGAATTTGGACAACTTCTTACAAGGAAAAAAATTCAACTCCGATGCGGCAGTCCAAACCGCCCTCAAAGAGTTTATTGATTGTCGCCCCCACGGTTTTATAAGAAAAGGGAACAATGAACTACCTATAAGATGGCAAAAGTAAATAGATAACAACGGTGCATACTTTGATTAATTAATATATTTTAGAAAAAGAAATGACTATATTCCACCCGTACAAAACGCCAATTTCATATGTAAGGACCTAATAATAATCAATTCAAAGTTTTTTTCTTTATTGACTATTAATGAACTACACTCGGTTCCAAAATTACGGGTCAGTCACAAAAATTGAAATACCTCCAGAACTGTAAAAGTTAGATCAATGAAATAAAAAACAGAATAAACACTTTTTAGTTGCGCTTCTAATAGCATATTATTTAAACTGGTTGATGAAAAAAACTTCATTAGAAAAACAAAATTAAAAAAAATGACTATTTTTAAAAAAGAAAATTTTGGTTTCATTTCATTATAGATGCTTTCCATGTCTATTCTGTCACAAAAAAAAATATCGTGAACGTCTTCCACGTGCATATTTATTATTCTGTGAGGTGAAGCATGGCAGTCACGCTAGAGGAATATACCAGAATCCTAACTTTTTTGGAACTTGGGCGGAGCCAGCGTGAAACAGCCAGAAACATTGGTGTATCTTTGTCGACTGTTCAGCGGGTAGTCCAGCGGTACCAAGAGACCGGATCACACCTTAGAAGACCAGGAAATGGCAGACCAAGATGCACAACGGCCAGGGAAGACAGGCAACTGATGGCATACAATGCTCCGAAATCGTTTTCAAACTGCTGTTGGTCTAAAAACTCACTTTATCCATGGAGGTGGCAATTTAAGCTCTCAAACAGTAAGAAGACGTCTTGCTGAAGCAAATTTGAAACCATTGAGGTCCGCAAATGGCCCCAAACTGGAACGGGGACATCGAATTGCAAGACAGAGATACGTGCGCGAGCACCTAAACTGGACACTAGACGATTGGTCTAGGGTAATGTTCACGGACGAGTCTAAATTCATGCTTTATAAGCATGATGGTAGGCAGTTGGTGTACAGAAGACCAGGGGAGCGCTTCCATCAAGCGTGTGTGGAGGAAAAAGTGGCGGACGCTGGAGGCTCCGTACAAGTTTGGGCTGGGATTTCTACTGAGGCCCGCACCGAGCTGGTACTCATTCAAAATGGAACTCTAAATGAAGGGAGGTACGTGGAAGAGATCCTCAATGAACATGTAGGTCCTTTCATGGCCAGGATGGACCGGCATGGCATATTAATGCATGATAATGCGCGTCCCCATACCGCCAGAATTGTACATGACTATCTTGAAGAGGTCGGTATCGAACTCATGCAGTGGCCAGCGCCGAAGCCCGGACTTAAACCCCATCGAGCACGCCTGGGACGACCTTCAGAGATGCGTGAAAGGTCGAAACCCCCCACCAATCACGCTTCCCGAGCTCAAACAAGCACTGGTGGAGGAATGGGAAGGTATTCCTCAGCACCAGCTCCGAAATTTGGTGTACAGCACGCCTAATCGCCTGGAAGCTGTCAGAAGAGCTCGTGGAGGCAATACAAAGTATTAAATGAAGAAAGTGATGAAAAACAGAAAAAAACAATCATAAAAAAATGTAATCTTAAGAAAAATATGACTACTTTAGTTTTTTTTTATTTAGAGATAAGTTAGAGTTAGAGAGTTTAGATTTAAGGTTTATTTTATTTTTTATCTCTATAATTAAAAATATATGTAAAAAAAGTAGACCACCGATACCGGGTACCGGGAACAAGACACCGGTGGTTGGGACTCCAAAGACAGGTACCTTCTCACTATGCGAGCCGTGTCAAGGAGAACTGCCTTCTGCATCAGACCCTTGATGCAGCCGGTACGGTTGACATTTGTCGGGTATGCCACCGTCCTGGTATTGTAGTGATAGATCGATTAGAGCGTCGCGCAGATATTATTGATATCGCTGTTCCTCATGACGAGAATCTCGTGAAAGTTGAAAAAGAAAAACAAATAAAATATTTGGATTTATCTCACGAGATTGTAGATATGTGGAATGTCGATTCAGTTATCATTTTTTCCGATAGTCGTATTTGCTCACGGATTGATAGCCAAGAGCCTCGACCAACACCTTAAGAGCAGCCGTCCACCTTGATCCAGCCGTCTAACGTGAGCCACGTTAGACGGCTGGATCAAGGTGGACGGCTGCTCTTGACAGAAAAGTTTTCTGGATATCTTAGTCAAAATGTGTAGAAGATCTAAAAGATGTACGAACATGTGTTCATGAAGTTTTCCTGAGAGGAAAAATCCCCTTAGTTACTCCTTATATAGATAGCTACCTGGTAGTAAAATATTATCAAAATCGGTCCAGCCGTTTTAAAGATTACCCGGAGCAAGCGGAGAGACAGACAAAAATATGGAAAAATAATAATGAACTGGTTTTTAGGCATAGGTTTCGTGCAAATAACCGTATAAACATGAAAAAAAAAACTATTATTTAAAACGAACAGACACTGCATTTTTATTTATTTGTGTAGATAGAAAAGATTTATAATGAAAAATAATATAACAGTCAAATTGATTTGAAATGCTCTATTTTCGGAGCGAATTGTAAATGAGAACTGCAGTGGGATAAGTGTCCAATGTAACTCATATTGGTAATATCTTAAGTGTATGTTTACCGTCACAAAATATGTAGAAACAAATAAAAGTAATCAACATTACGAGTATATTTACTACAAAATATACTCGTACCAATAAAACTTATTAATGACTTGCAATATTTTATAAGTTAATATACACCTAATTTCAAATGAAGTTCTTGCAAAATACATATTCAATTTGATTCTAATTAGTTATTCACAGTACAATTTAACACAAGTATTTATATGGTCTGGTTTTATAACGTAAACTGGTTTTGGAAGCTTTCGGTCGTTTGTTCACGGCACTACTTGAAAGTCAATAAAATGGATAGTGCACAAGAAATTGAATTATCTGCCCTGGCTCGCCAGAAACCAATGAACGAAGTAATAGATTGGGGGAATTCACCTGTGCAGCTGTTTTACGAAGGTGCTAAGGTGTTCATAACTGGTGGGTCCGGCTTCATTGGGAAACAACTAATTGAGAAGCTGTTCAGGTATGTTCTTTTAGCGATGTTACCAGAGTCTAAAACGCAAGTCAATTTTTAACTGACTTCAAAAAGGAGGAGGTTATCAATTCGGATATTTATATATTTTTTAATGTATCATCACATTAACAGCCTTTAACAGTCCACTGCTGGACATAAGCCTCTCTTTAGAAAATAGGTTTTGGCCTACTATACCACGCTGGCCAGACGGGTTTGTGTCAAGTTTTACTTCCCTTTGCAATGCTGTTGTCCTGCGTAGTTTGCTCCCTATGTCGACTTTTACGACACCTACAGCAGCAGTTCCCGGATCCCTCCTATTACAGGCGCAGAGTGGCACACCGTGTGGTTTTAGTCGGTCCGATTCCGACCCACCACCCTGCCGCAAATCCCGCTGGGGTGACGGCCCGAGGGGGTTTCCACAAGTAAAAAAAGAAAGGGTTTGTGTCAAGTTTTCCTTCTCTCTGTGTGCTGTTGTTTTGCGAAGTTTTTAATGTATGTTCCGGCATAACTCTATCATATATAGCCGAATTTTCAAAATTCTGTTTTTTATTCAAAAGAGGTTTACTCCAAAATGGTCCCATTTAAATTGCATATAGATCTGATTATGAGTTTTGAAGACAACGGAACTCTTCAAAAAATGACAGCAAATCAATCGCTATTGCTCCTAGGTTTTTAGTGCTCTTTGTTAGCATTGTTTGAAGTCGGTTCAACTGTTTTAAGAAGGATTTTCTTGTAATCTGCATCATCATCATCAATCTGCATATAGTATTATAATTATTTTTAATGATGGGACAGCCATACTTTGACTACATACTGATCCAGTGCTTATCAATTTTTTGCATGCGTGCCACGATTACGGTTTTTTTTAATTTTGCAAAGCATTGTGCGCGTTATGAAAGTGTGAAACTATTTAATTGCCTACCTGCAGAAATAAAAATGAAAATCTATAAGACACACATATTTAAAAAAAGAGTAAAGCCTTCTTATTGGAAAAATGTTATTATTCTGTAAATGAATTTACTGGCTCATCTTGTAAGTGACATTAAAATCCTAGGGACATGTTGGGGATATAATTATTGTGTGATCTCTTGTTTCCTTTGACATGACAATTCTAACATTTAGTTTGCATTAAGTACCTGTTTGAAATTTAATTTATTTTGTTTGATATTATTATTTTTGACATCGAGTAATTCATTTTGTTAATATGACGTTAAAATGATGAGTTGTGAATGTTATATGTATATTTGAAATGTTTTTAACTCATTTTAGATGGTTTAATGTGAATTGTTTTTAGAGATTATATGTTACTTTTTTTTCTCACCATTATGAATTATTATATTCAGACACAATTGTAATAAATTGTTAATGTATTAAATAAATAAATAAATAAAAAATTCAACAGAATTCAACATTTACACAATGTTATATTTCACACGTAACGCCGGCCTATAGATTTCAGAAAGTCAGACCACACACTTTGTTTAAAGTAAACCAGAAAAAGCATGGTGAAAGAAAATACACTTTATACCTATATATATATAAACATATTTGTTGCAGATCATGCGCCATAGACAAACTGTACTTGCTTATACGTCCGAAAAAATCGATGACTATTCAAGAAAGACTCAATCAGATGTTACAAAACCCAGTAAGTAAACTTTTCAAGTTGTATAAATAATAAATTTGGTAAATTCATCACTCACTCGTCACTAGTGGCAGAGTTATGGTGAAAACGATACTATATCTTCATTTGGCTACTCGATCTTGTGTTATTGGAACAAAGTTTCTGATGGGACGATGTGGCAAGAGGGATTTCACGAGAAAATGTGTACGTTACGAAAAAGCGTTAGTCGCTATCTCTCTCGCTCTTCAGGTAGTGAATGCACAGCAAAAGAGATAGCGACTTACGCTCGTAGTTTGCTCCCTTAGTCGCCTCTTGTCGTAAAAACTACGCAGGACAATAGCACTGCAGAGAGAAGGAAAACTTGAAAGAAACCTTACATCAACCCGTCTGGCCAGCGTGGTATAGTAGGTCAAAACCTCCTTTTTAAGGAGAAGCTTACGTCCAGGAGTGGACTGTTAAAGGCTGTTGATGATGACTAAAAAAATACTGAATAGTATCGCATTGTACATCAAAGTTCGAAAAAATATAAAACTCTCTATAATACTGTTCATTTATGCAGTGCTAGTGCTTATTAAAAGTAACATGGCTATAGAAGATGTTGAAATTTCCTACAACAATCAGGCGAAAAATTGATTAAGTATTTTTTATGATTTAATTAGAAATGTATAACTTTCAGATTTTTCCGTGGATTTATAGTATAAAATAATAACGTCTTTAATCTAATGTTGCGTACCTAATTTCATAGTTCTAGGTCAATGAGAAATACCAAATAAATTTAATTCCCTCGATAGTGTCCAAATATGCGTATTTTTGCAGCATAACCGAAAGTATCTTTTTTTACCTTGACTTAGAAGTTTGATTTTATCACAGCTTCAAGGGACTGTAGACCTAAATATATGGTGTTAATTTAACCTCAATACCGCCACCCGTTTTCGACATACAGAGTATTGACAGACGGACAGCCAGACGAACGATAAAGTGATCCTATAAGAGTTCTGATATTTTAGGAATCCTGGAAAAGATTGTCAAAACCAAGCTACAAACATTTATGTTATTGAATAAATAAAGCAACTTAAAAAAACGTGTGCGTCTCGGGATGCCCGACAGAAGTAATAACTTAAACTAATCTAAGTTGAATTATTTAATATTGAAATTGTTTAACTTGAGAAAAGCTTAGGTTATTACTTAAATTTTATGTAATGCGTCTGTCCGAAATACGGCTAGTGCTGTGGGTTAGAGTGAGAAAGGAGGAGCCTGCCTACCGCTGCCGTATAAAAATAAACTTACAACAGGTTTTTAACATTACAATAATATAAACACTTAGAATTAAATTAAGACCAATATAAGAGTGTGGACAAACTATATGTGATGAGTTGGTGACTGTGTTGGGATTTTAAGCTGTAAAAAATTTTCTAATTCTACCTGACAAGTGAATTATATGTTTGCCGTAGGTAAGACGTTCATCCAATATGACTCCTAGATATCGAATAGGGTCTGTGCGTTCTATGGTGCCGCAGCTACATTTGACTCGGTCACCAGAACTACAGGTATGAATTTTCAAAGTGTGTCCTGTCGGGAGTTTTGATGCAAGTGTCTTGTGGAACGCGATGAAATTGGTCTTTTTTAAATTAAGGGTGAGCAGATTTTTATTTTTGCAATGAGAGTCATGCCATGTTCAGCAGTCGCTATTGCACTTGACCACGATATATGGCGAAAGATTATCACGGTATCATCTGCGTAACACATAACTTCTGCGTTTGACATTGATATATTTAGAATATCATTCATATAAATGCAGAAAAATGTGGGATCCAGAATGCTCCCCTGGGGAACACCAAACTCGATGCGGCACCGGTCACTAGTTGCAGATCCCACCCTAACGCACTGATGACGATTTGCCAGATAACTGCGGAACCAGTCATGTGCAATACCTCGTATACCCACAGCCTCCAACTTACGAAGTAAGGTAGGAACGGACACAGTGTCGAATGCCTTCGACAAGTCAAGGAAAACTCCTAAGCAGCATTCTTTGTTGTTCAGAGATTTGGATACCGTGTTCGCCAGAGATACTACAGCATCTTCTGTGGATGTTTTTTGTTTAAAGCCAAATTGTTTTTCGAAAAGTAGTCATCTTTTATTTACAATTATTTCCAGGAGTTTAAAAAATATGCTTAAGAGGGAAATCGGTCCATAGTCATTAGGAGCTGACTTGTCGCCTTCCTTATGCATAGGAATGACTACCGCAGTTTTCCAGCAGTGAGGAAATACACCTGAGCTCAGGCTGAGATTGAAAATGTGTGTTAGTGGGCTAGTGATATAGGTTTTAATTACTTTTATCAAGCTAGGAGAGAAAGCGTCTAGGCCCGGAGACTTGTCGTTTTTAAGGTTGTCAATAAGTTTAGAGACTTCATAATGGTCTGTTGGTTGCAAGAAAAAGGAACTGCCTTTAGTTGGTGCATTTGAAGAAGTGTAGTCCGAAGCAAGAGAGGTTGCCGAAACGTTTAGGTTATCGAGCACGTGATCAGCTAGTGTTCTCCCAATGTTTGAAAAATATTGATTGCAAAAATTAAGCGACGTAACAGGGTCGGGATGGTTTTTTGTTAGTTCTATAGGTGTTGAATGGTTTTTTGACATGTTACAGATCTACTTAATTGATTTCCATAGTTTTTTTGAATTGCCGGACTCAATGTTACTCTTTAATAATTGGGTCTCGTAATTGGTTTTATGGCGTTTTTGTAGATTAGTGAGGAAATTACGATATCTTTTGTATGTGATTTGACAAATGACGTCCTCGGGTTTTTTGTTGCTTTCAAGATGGAGTTTGTTTCTCTGGCATCTCATTAATCCAGGCGTTATCCAGGGTTTCATAGAGCGCTGGGAACGATTAATAACAATGGTTCTGGAGTTTTTGTGCATGGATGTTTTAAGGATTTTATCAAATTCACTTGTAGCTAATTCCAATTTTATTAGTTTTTAATGTGGTGCGGCGTGGTAATTTAAAACTACCTAATGATTCACTGGTCATGGTCACTACACAAATGTCGTGATCTGTTATGGCAGCACGACAAACCATTCCTAGAGATAAGGATTTATCTTTAATGAAGATGTGGTCTAAGCATGCCTCGCCTCGTGTAGACAACGTTATGGCAGGAAGTAGTTGGTGACTAGCCATTAAGCACAGATATTCCGAACATTGCTCGGTCGGTGTGCTGCAGCAGATGTCCAGGTTAATATCACCAGCCAATATATTTTATTTTATTTTTAACTTTTTGCACAAGTACATGCATCAGCGGACTTAATGCCTAAGTCCGCTGCCAGTCGACCGATTGGGCGGTGCTGAGAAAGAATGAGGTAGGTGCATTTATGATAGGGTATAAACGATAGTGGTTTTGTTAAATACCAACTATCTTGGAATTTGGTGTATACGTCGTAATACCACACACATACACATACATATACATACTCATAAATATATACATACATACATACATACACATACATATATACATACACATACACATATATATATGAGAAAAAAAAAAAAAAAAAATTTAAAAAGATTAGCCGATGAACTAGGAGCTCGTTGAATCTGCCATTTCGCTCAGCAATAGCTCTTTCACTGTCGTCTTAAAAGAGTACCGATTTGTATATATGATACGATATAATATAATGACGAGCGTTTATGTTAATCAAAGAGGCATCTATGAAAGAGAGGAACGTGGATAGGTTTTTAAATGAGGGAGACCTGTAAATGCCTAGTATGGTTAATTTGTCATTTATAATCAGCTGAAGGCAGTGACATTCATCACATAACGGTTCATGAACTGAGGTGCTCCATACGTCTCTGACATAAGCTGCAACACCACCGCTCTTGTTGATTATTTTCTTTGTACTAAATGTCATTTTAGGAATTATTGTGTTTTCATTGAGCCAACATTCAGACAGAATAATTACGTCAGGGTAAATCTCCATGCGCTTCAGAGTTATCAGTAGTTCATCAAAGTTATGTTGGATGCTTCTTATATTAAGGCTTAGAACCATGAAACTGACATTGGCAGGCAGTAACTCATTACAGTGTTCCAACCTCTCTAGAGAATGACATTTTATCGTGAGGGTTTTGTCTATGTCTTCATAAAAATCATGCATTTTTATGATGTTGCGACTGTGTCCAACGGGTTATAAAGATAATAAAAGAGGTAGCACGATAGCAGTCATTAACTGAGAGGTAGAACAGACGGCAAAGAGATAAATGTGTGTGCTTGTGTTTTTTGTGAAAAAGGTGTATTATGTGACGTGAGTGTGTTATTTTGAGTGTTTGTTGTTTTGTGTGCATATGATGTTTATAATCATTAGTAAAAGTAAAGTGCTTAAAAGGAACATGATTTACGTGCTAATTTTAATCTGAAATCCAACCAGTTAATTTGTAATTTGAGCAACCAAATTAAGCCTCTCGTCCAGCTCCTCGCGGTTGTGAATGCGGATTGCCTCTTTACCTTCAGCCTTAGACGTTGCCATGACGTACCCAGCAAAAACGATATCCTTGTTTCTGAGCAAGGCCCGGTTAGTTTTTGTTAACCTTTCGTTGATGTAAATCTTTTGAACCGGAGTCGTCGTGATGTTCTCAGAGGTAACATTTCGCCTAGACCTCGCTGCTTTTACCATCTCGTCCTTTTTTTGGTGCCGTAACAGCTTAACCACAATTGGACGAGACTTGATGGCGTGTATCGAAATAAGGTTTTCACTACTGCAAACCTGGTTTTATATACTTTGCTTGGATGCTAAGGCCTATACGAATACACAACTTTTACTATGTTTATTTGCAATAAAACGGCGGAGCAAAAATAAACGTGTGTTCTTCGAACCGCTAAGACTCTACGCATAACATGGAAAGATAGTAGTATTTAAGAGGAAACTCAAAAGGTATTTTTTTGATTTGTTGTGATAGGCTACTGTTGTGTATACCTACCTGTAATAGTTTAGAAACGACTTACTTAAATAAGACTTAAATAGGAAAATTGTACGGAGACTCGATCCTCCAGTCAAACCATCAACCCGGTTTTGGGGGACTCAGATTGTAATGTCATGTTCATAAATTAAGTTGAAGTAAAACAATAAAAAAAAAAATATGGGGATCAAAACGATTACAATTTCAAGGAGGGTTGGCATTAGGCAGGTGGCCAGCTATAAAAGATACTAGCTAAATACCGGCTGCAACTTTCCGCCATCGCTCCACACGGCAAAATTTTCATCCGAATCACCTGCATAGTAGGCGCTCCACCACTGTGCGCTTTTCGAGACACTTTTGGCTCGCACAACCAATCTATGGAACGATGCAGTATTTCCAGACCGATACGACATTCAAACCTTCAAGACAAGAGCGTACTCCTTCCTAAAAGGCCGGATACACGTTTGTGACTCCCAAGTTGCAGACGTTCATGGGCGCCAATGGTCCATATCCATCAGGTGACACGTCTGCTAGTCTGCCCCCTCTAACATAAAAAACAAAAAAAAAACATTACATGTTGAAAATGTTGTAACAGTCGTCTTGTTGACAATTATTTATTAATTAAGAATCTAAATAAATATAAAATAATTGACAGTATCAAAGTTCAACCTCAACTTTTAATGAATGGAAATTAATTAGACTTAATAATCAACCATTATATTCTGTTAATGTTCTGAAAGGTCGTATTGTGTTAAAAGGTTAAAATGTAAATGCTTATCAAAATTTAACAAATTGTTTTGTTAACACATTGAAGGACACGACTACTTCGTAATTTTCAATGTGAGCGTGTCACACGCACACATAAACCTGCGTAACAGCACACAACGTCCACGAATGTCGCATTTGTTCGCGTCATTTGGGTATTGTCACCACACGGGAACACGCGTTTTCGCCGACTGATACCTACACGTGTGCTTACTGAGGTTAGTATTTTCGTTTTTTTATTTCAAATAATGTATAGATTGACTTCGCAAGTGTTTTATTTGGTTCATTGTTATTTGTACTACGTATATTGTAACTACTGGGATACTAGCGTGGTTTTATCAACACAATATACCTAAATAATGAAAAAGCTAACCTATCAGTTCATTATTTTTAGATAACTGATGACGAAAGGGAAAGATCTCGTATCCTGCGACTATTTGAGGAAGCTTCTTCAGGGTAGGAATCCTCAAAGGACCCGTTTAGCGACCAAGATGGAGAGTACGTATCTGATCCGAATTATGAATTTGAAAACGACCTCGATTTCGCGTCGTCAATCCAACTCCAATCAATTTATCCAAGCAAGTACCCAGTCAACTGATCATCTCGGCGATCAAGTCAACTACACAGTTACAACTACTAACGATCAAGATAGACCCGTATCTCTACCCTCTACAAGCAGGGTTTATGCAAATACTTGCTATCTCCCGTCAGACTATGAGTGGGAAGACAAATGTTGCAGATATTCCTAATTTTGATTTTGACAGGAACTCAGTAGGTATAAAAATAGATATAACTGATAGAAGTTCACCTCTTGATATTTTTCGTCTTGTTTTCCCTCCACATATTATGGACAATATTGTTGAGTGTCCTAACAACTGAATAATGTTTGTTACTGATTTTGATACATTGTATTAAACGAGGAGTTTATTCATAATTGTCATTTTATTTCATTCCATAAAGTAAATGCCAAGATTAGACGATTTTTACATGATCTAAAAATGAATAGTGAGAGAACTGCAGCAGACGTCTTGCCTTAATACATATATACGAATACATCGTATTGTGGCTGTGAAAGTCGTGTCACCAAATTTATATATTTTTACTAGTATTGTGCCGGGACCTCGTGAACCCCATTCTGACGCCTACCGTCCCAAAGTCGTGTGCGAGACTGTCCCGAGCCCTTTTAAGACGGCTGCGTAGGACAGCCCGCCGTTAGCCGCCTCCGGTGATACTGTGACAACCACAGCCGCGGTTTTGGGCTCTTGTGAGAGTGGGGAGAGGAAGAAATTGCGCTCCAGCCTTTGCGGATGGTTTAGGCCCCGCTCTCGATGCAGCCGTCTTGGCTGCTGCTTTTCCTGGAAGCGGAATCGATGCTGACGTGACTTTACACCACATTGCGTCGGTAATTTGGCGCAGGTGGGTATCCGGGATTGGGAGTAGGGTCGATCTGCGACGGAGCCGCAGGGTGATCCGCCCAAAATTGGGCGAACCGAGCGCTGCGCTCAGCCACTGAGTCAGATAGTCGTTAGCCGCCTGAAGACGTGTAACGTCTCTAATAAGTGTCGCAAAGGCGGATCTGGAACGCAGATGTACCGATTTTCTTCGGCTCCCAGGAATCAGACTGACTTTTGGGAGTCCGACATCCGGCCTTCCACTTTTCTCCTTACTTTCCCTGCTTTCTGGTTTCATTATTTGTTTCAATTGACTCCATGATTGATCCCCCGAGGGGTTCGCAGATGTCCCGGCTGGGAGTGCGCTTGCGACTGAACAACCCATCAGCCATGCATCCCTTGGCCACGCATCAAAACACGGAATTTGGAGTAATTTTTAAAGAGGTTTTCTTCCTCGCACTCCTCGCCGCGATTAGAGTCGCGAGACATAACCACGACACTCCTTTCGGGATTACGATATACAAACGGTTGCAAGGAGACACAGTCCCCGTAGCCTACTCGGTGGCAGTGTAAGTGCTCACCGAGCCCATTGTCGTTCCTCCAGCTTGGACCGTGGAGTAACTATCGGTTACCCAAGAATGGATCCACTGAGTATCCTTCTTATTATGGAGTCTCCCTCTGAGCAAATCCGCCATGAGTGACTCTACAAGCATAGCCTCAGAGATCACTGACCCGCGTAAGTCTCCCCACGACGACAACGTGAGGATACAGTTGGGAGGGATAGTCAAGGAACCTGGTGTAACCAAATTTTTTAAATATCTAATTTTTGTGTTGGTGTAATATATGTTTTATAAAAAAAAAAAATAACAATTCCAGGTGTACGATCTATTACGAACGAAAAAACCGGAGTTTGCTGACAAAATTATCCCAGTTGAAGGAAATGTTAATGATATCAGACTGGGGCTTAGCGAAAAAGACTGGAGTATGCTCACAGACGAGGTAAGTTATATCATTATTATTATCCATTAAGAGGGGTTAATATCCGGCAGTGGACGATAAAAGCCATGACGCTGATGATGATTTATTGTTTTTCTGACTTTATGTTCAGGTAAATATCATATTTCATGTTGCTGCTACTGTACGCTTCGATGAACCACTACGTAAAGCGACACTTACTAACATCCGGAGTACTAGGGAGGCACTGGAACTGGCCCGAAATTGCAAAAACCTAAAGTAAGTTCATCTATATATAAAAAACTACTTGCCCTGACTGAGTGACTGATTCATCAACGCCGAGCCTAAAAGGCTGGGGCTACGAACTTTAAAATTTTGGTAGGTCATGCTCTATATGTTGTAATCACCCATTAAAAAAGGATTTTTGAAGATTTTACCGACAAGGGGGTAAAGTGGGATAAACGGTTGGATGGAAATTTTCAAGAAGAATTCAAAAAATAATCACACGAGCGAAACCCAATCGCAGTTCGCCGCTCCTACACGGGCGTCGTGCGGTCCATGGTCCTCTATGGGGTCTGGTCGCGTCTGGTCTAATCACTTGGCGGGTGCCCCTCCCTGCAAGGCTCTACTCAGAAGCCTGCAGAGGTTGATGGCGATGATCGTACGATCTCGTTTGAGACGGCAACGGTCCGGGCGCGATATCCAAAATTCGATATTCACGCGATGGTCTATGACCAAGTTCGTTCTGTCGGTGAAAAGGCCGCCTTGGATCATGAGTCAGGAATGCTACGGCGGTGCTAGCCAACTGTGTCACCTACCGATTGACTTAGATGCTCACCGGGCACGGGTGCTACGGTGAGAAATGAACCGAATTAGACGGGAGGTCGCGGCACCATGCCACCATTGCGGGTCCAACCGGGACTCCGCCCAGCACACGTTGGAGGACTGAAGCGTGGGAGTCCGAATGTCGAATCTTGGTTGGACAGATGGGACGAAACCTGTTGCCGCCAGCATTGACCTCAGTAATCTGGAAACAGTTACATTTGGAGCATGCGTTGTTACACGAATTTGCATGAGAGATTAAATTAAAAGATGTATCAGGCAGGGTTGTTGCGCTTGATTTAAAAGTCATAAATTTAGTCTTTTCTACGTTGAGCGTCAAGAGGTTATGAGCAAGCCATTGGGTTACAGCAGATGTCTTTGCATTAAATTTAGCGTGAGTCCAGTCTGTCCCATTCAAGTTATGATCTTACAGTGTGGAAGGGCCATTTTGCAAAGATTATCTAAATATGATTATATAAATATGAAAAAGTGTTGGCCCTAGCACACTTCCCTGAGGAACACCAAATTGCAACCTTTGTTTTTCACGAATAAGATCTCCAATCCTAACACACTGAAACCGACTTTTGATATAACTTTCAAAGATGTCGTAAGCTATACCTCTAATACCTATGCATTCCAGCTTCCTGAGTAAGATGGGAACAGGGACAGTGTCGAAAGCTTTGGAGAGATCCAGATATATAGCAATAGATTTTAGGTTTTTATTAAGCTTTTGAACAATGGAGTTTCTTAAAGTTAAAATCGCATCTTCAGTTGATTTCCCACTACGAGAACCAAATTGATTTTGAGCCTATAGTCTATAGTTGTGGGCGCTGCCCATGTCACCGCCCTTGTATATAGGATGCACTAATCCAGTCTTGAAAACATCAGGAAACAGACCCTTTGTTATGCAGAGGTTAATCACATGTACAATAAGTTTGTTTGCCCTTTCTTCTCATAAGGCTTAACCCCTTGGAAACGGGCGGTTGTAGATCGGCACAGGCATATTTTGTATGGGCTTGATTTTTGTTAAATTTATTTGCTTACTATTTGACAAAACAGAGATTGTTGCTTTTGTGTGTGTTGATCTATGACTTTAGAGTCTACATAAAAGACGATATTAAAACAATTTTGAAAAATTTATGAAATACAGAGAGATTGAATTTGAGTTTACATGCATTCGGCTGTAAAGGCACATTCAGAACTATGTCTGTCGATATGATTGTTTCAAACAATTGCGCTTTCGATTCTTCTTTAGGAGCAGGCATATTTCGGATTTCGATGCAAGTAGATCTAGTGTAACGCTTTGCTATCTCCAGTTTCTGTTCCAGGTTTGGAATGTGTTTAAGTTTCTTTATTTGTTCTAGCAGGGAATCGTATGTTTTTGAAAGTTATTCGGCTGAGGAGCTTATTTCTTTATTCTGTTTCTGTATTTCGACCATAGTAGAAATCATTTTATTCGAATTTACTTTCTTGTTCAGCTTTGACTGTTTCATTTCATTCATAAATAAGGACAATTCGTCTTTACGATCGTCACCTAAACGCTTACGTTTTGAGCGAACATTCACGCCAAGCGTTTCCAATTCTACTTGTATGTCGCTTAAACTGGGTTCCGAACCGCTGGCGTTGCATCGTAAGCGCCTCCATTTGTCGAGACACCGCGGTTGGCGGTGAACAATCAACAGGCATATTGTATTAGAATACTATTTATTTAGATAATAACAAATATAATTAACACACAGGATGGATGAATTAGTCTAGAGGTCCATGTACTCTGGCCGGTCGCTAGGGTTTCATTCAGATTCGCTTTCTGTCGATATTAAGTTGGCCCCTGTATATCTGTCACTCACTCGCAGGCAGGTATAAAAAGAGTGAAGATATTATTATGTTGTGGTTATTACTCACGCGTCGCCAGTAGCCTATAGTTGAGATTTCATGTTTACTCCTAACAAGGTCCTTTTTATAATAATTTAACTTAATTCTGATTTTTATTTTATTAAATATTGTTTGAATCGACAAGGGCATATAGTTTTATGGCACACCAAAGCGTATAATATTATGTACTAGCTTTTCCCCGCGGCTCCACCCGCGTATGTGTCGGTTATTCTTTATCAAGAAACAAACTATCTCCATGGCAAGTTTCATCTGAATCGGTTCAGCGGTTATTGATTCCCATACAAACTGCCACCCCCTTTTACCCCCTTAAAGGATAATTTCTGGGATAAAACTATCCTGTGTCCTTTCCCGGGACTCAAACTATTTCTATACCAAATTTAATTTAAATCGGTTCAGCGGTTTAAGCGTGGAGAGGTAACAATAAACAGAGAGACAGACCCACTTTCACAAATATTATATTATATAGTATAATACATTATAGTAATAATATATATATATACATATATAGATGAAATTATGGGGGTCCAGTGTATATATTATCTTATTATGGTACAAATGCATATGCAATAATAGTTTAAATTACATTGGTCAACGAAATAAAAGACATTTCAAACGGCTGACCGTTTGAAATGTCTTTTATCATTTTGTCATATTGTTGTCAGTCTCCATGACATAATAAAACTTGCACAGTTAGTTTAGTTTATTTCTGGTCCAATAAAAACAAAAATCACAAATCAAATTTTCGGTTTTCAGAAAGTTTATTCACATATCGACAGCATTTTCATTTGCAACCCAAGATCGGTCTGGTAAAGACATATCCGATCAGTTCTATCCATGCCCGGTACCTCCTGACACAATGATATCTCTAGCTGAGAATATTGACGAAAATAAACTGGATAATATAACAAACAAGTACGTATATTAGTTTGGTGTTATGTCCATTTTTTTAATGCAATGGATGGACTAAGGGAGAAAACTCTGCAGGACAACAGCACTGCAAAGTGAAGGAAAACTTGAAACAAACTCTCTACCGACCCGTCTATACAGCGTGGTACAGTAGGCTAAAACCTCCTTTGTACAGCAGTGGACTTTTCAGGGCTATTGATGATGATGATGATATTAGTCTTAGGTTTTTAATTGACGTCAAAAAAGGAGGAGTTTTTCTATTCTTCTACATGGTCTTTATATGTTTGTTTTTATAATATCGTCATTTATAAACTGATTTGGAAATTTCTTTTTTTATTTAAACAAAAGATGTACCCTTAAGACGAAAATTAAGGGATGAAGGATAAAGATGGTTTTTCAATTTAACGTCATGTAAGATCAATAAAAAGTTAATTACTGAACAATTTATTAATCCTCCTGTATCTTTTACTTTTATATACACACAAATTCATATCTTCCAAGCTCTGAAAGTAATTTCTAGCAAACTGTTTTCTGACCAATGTTAGAAACCGAATCACACAAGTTGGCTCACCCCTTGGTAAAGGGCCCTTATTAGGTCTGAAACACACCATATAAAAAATCTAAAATCCATTTCTTAGCATTCCATGGATTCACTGGTTCGTCTGGCCAGCATGGTATTGTAGACCAAAACCTACTTTCTATGTCCAGTAGTAGACTATTAAAGAAATAGCATGCAGAGTATTTTTATAAAGTTAATTGACAAAATCGACATTAACCAGGGCAAGCTAATGTTAGTGTTTATTGAAATTGAATACCATTATTTGCAGCATGATCCAAGGCTGGCCGAATACATACACGTTCACGAAATGTATTGCCGAGGAGTTGGTAAGGACGAAAAGTGGAGATTTGCCTGTATGTATCGTGAGACCTCCAGTAGGTAAATTATCAAATTTTCTGATCTGGTGTTAAGTCAATGCTCCCACGGCACATTGCCTAGTACTGCTCCGTAGCCTGATGAACAATTCTTCGCCATTCAGGCTATCGCTGAGCGAATTCTTGCTTTTCACAGGGAATTTGACTTCTTGATGTCACTTCTTAACAGGAACTGCATATTTAACTACAGTTATAACTCAGCTGGTCTTCATCATAATATATTAGCGTTGTAACTTCAAAATATAAGACTTTTTTTAATATTCAGGCCATTAGAAGACTAGTTAGCATTCTTCCTATAGTTTTCTATTGCCTTCTGCACGTTATGTGGGCAAAAAAACACATACAGTAAATACTTTAAGGGGTTGTAGTTGCCATCATTCCTGATAGATTTCACTATAAAATACCATATCCCAAACCCAACCATTTTCAAAATATTGAACTACTTAGATTTTTATAAATATTGTCAAAACTTTTTTTTGCCTTTTTTTTCGTTACTGTTTTTGTGTAGTTGATACTTTGTTTTATAATATCCATTATTTAATTAGGTCGACTTACCCAGTAACTCTGTATATCTATGAACCGCCTGCATGATGGTGCTGTATGAAAAGAAAAGGTAGAGCTTTAAACCGACATAACCTAGAAGCCAAGAACCCAGTAGTAGTTTACGTATCTCTTCGGATAGAGCCCGACCTATATCTGATCTGTAACTTTGCCATATATCTATAGACTTCTGCGTACAATAAAAATTAATATGAAGGAATGGTCCTGATTAACATCACCTGTTATAATTTGAACTTGTACCGGTACAGAAAATCGATGTCCACAAACCGCCATGCGTTCAAGACAAAAGTGCGCGATCTTCTTCGAAGTGAATTGGCAGAACAGTCATAACGCTAGTACCCGACTGATTTTTATATTATATTAAATTTATTTATGTTTATGTATGTGTATTTATATATTGTGTATATCTCTGGACTTTAATTATGTGAAATTTAATATTTTATTTTGCACCTACTGCATCATATTTCTACATTACCTGAAGGTTGACTGGGAGATAATACCTCATGGCATTAAGTCAGCCTTTGTGCAACATGTGCATTAACTTCTAAATAAATAAATAAATAGTAAGGAATTATTTCGTTGCTTCCACCAAGGTAATCAAAGGGCGGCAACAAACTTGTATATTTTAACAGTGGTAGGCACTTGCCATCAGGTGACCCATATAATCGTTTGCCCCTTATACCGAAGAAAAATACAAATCCGATGATTGGACCAATCAGCTATTTTCCAGTAGACCATCACGTGACTTTTCTCGTACATTTTGGTTATACAACTAATGCTGATTAATTTTGACTTTTTGCAGTACTGCCAGCATACTATGAGCCAGCACCCGGTTGGTTAGATGAGCATACAATTATTGGACCCAGTGGAGTAAGTACCTATTTCTCAAAATAGTTTAGATTTACTTATCGTCTGTGGCAGTTCTCATCATCATCATCATCATCATCATTTTACAGTCCACTGCTGGATATAAGCCTCTCCTTAGAAATGAGGTTTTGGTCTACTATACCACGCTGGCCAGACGGGCCCCACCGAGGTTTGACCGAGGATTAAGACATCCGGACCAGGGTTTGAGTCAAGTTTTCCTTCTCTTTGAAGTGCTGTTGTCCTGCGTGGTTTTCTCCCTCAGTCGGCTCTTACGACACCCACGGGAGGAATAGGGGTGGTGACACTTCGTATTCTTATTCCGTCACCACACGGATTGGCAGTACTGTCTTATTTTATTTCTTAGTATGTTCTAGAACTGTATGCTATAGAATTACCTGGGGAGAATGTTCTGCTCATTAATATGTATTGGAATAAAAGAGAAGAAGAAACATTTTATCATCAGATGGACCAATACTAAATTAATCATCAGAGGAGACTGTTAAAGGCTTTGATGAATAATAATAATAATACCGTCTTATACTTTGATTGGTAGCTATATCTGTACACATTCCGGGAATAAGATCAATGTTTTTTTAGCTATATGGAAATTTACCACTTAAGAATTAAATTAGATTTTTCCACTTTTAGACATTCTTTGCTTATATATTTATTAAGAATATAGAGATTCACAACATCAAGCTTTACTCAACATAGAAAAACCCTAACAGTCATTATGAAATTCTGTTGTCTCTCTATTTTGCCGATTAGACGCTATTAGTAGTATAAAATTCGAAGAGAGGCATGCCTAGGGTCCGGCTCGAACAAAGTTCCTTACCGCGCGTTACACGCTCTAAGCGGGTGGGAGTAAGACCGAAAAATGTGTAACAGGACTGTTTTCCGACACTTGCTATAGTTCCAGCCGTGTACGAACTATATACATCGCCGCTATATACACAGCTCTCCCGCGCGCCGAAAGACTCGAGGGCTCTCTTCTCTTCGGCTTTTTGTTTTTAACTTAATTATCCCAGTTTAATTGATCTTTATTGATTTTATACAAAATATATCATATTTTTTTCCAATTTAACTCTATTCACTTGTTATTTTTAAATATTAATTATGACTGTCTAGCAAACGTCTATCAAAAAGCGAAAGGAACGTCGTTCCAGTCGGGTGTCTATAGAACCCTCACGCAGTTCTTTATTGTTTTTCGCCAAATAACTGACTAGGCCTCTACCTAACCTACATTTCCCCTCATTATTGGGATATTCTAAAGGCTGCAATACACTTGAGTTTCTTGAGGTGAAGGTTACAAGGGGCGGTGGCAGTCATCGTCAGATGATCCGTCTGCTCTTACTTTTAAAAATATATTTATGATATCTGTTTTAGATATGCCTTTTAGGAGCTCTTGGTGCACTTCGTCTATTCTGCACTGATGTGAATTCTACCTTATCTATTGCTCCTGTTGATTATGTGAACAACACTATCATAGCTGCTGCTTGGGACTCGTCAGAGAGGCGAAAAAATGGCAAAACTGAAATTCCCATATACACTATTGCGAAAAAGTTACGATATGGTAAGTACATTATCCGTGTGAGTATACTTCTGTTAGCGCTGTCAGAGATATATGTCTTTCTTCTTCATGTGTATCTTGAAATATTTCGAAATTATTATATGCTATTGTTGGTTGTAAAAGATAAGAAGGTCATGACCACCACAGTGAATGTTGCCGTAATTCTTCTGCAGACAGGCCTCTTGAAACACAGTCAGCTGGATTCATATTTGTTACAACATGGTTCCATTGTTCATAGTTCAAAATATTTAGAATTGAGGACACTCGATTACCCATAAAAGTAGTCCAATGACTTGAACCACCTCTTAGCCATGCTAACACTATTGTAGAGTCTGACCACGCATGTGAATTCTCTTTTGGAAAGTCTAGTACTTGTACACCGCATAACTCAAGTCTTGGAATAGAAAATTCCTTCTCTATAGGGGCAACCTTACTTTTAGCGGATATTAAACTGACATATATTTTAATTTCACTATTAATTAGATGAATATATACTGCAGCACCATTGGCGAGCTTAGAAGCTCGGCAAATGCATGGAGTTCTACTTTTGAACCAGGACTGAAATACAATCTTACTCAAATGTACCAAACTAGTCTGAAAATATAACCATTTCTCAAATAAATTTGTTCTTAATCTATCATCCCAATAAATTTTTGACTTTCATAGCTTCTGCACAAATAATTTTGCTGTGATAACAACGGCGCAATCCATCCCTAAGAATCGTATAATCGAGACACATTCGATAAAACTTGTCTTTTGGTTATAAATTATTTCATCAACAGCCTTTAATAGTCTACTGCTGGACATAGGCCTCTCCTTACAAATGAGGTTTTTAGATGGTTTTGAGTCTGAAATATCCTGAAAATACTGAAAAGCATCTGTTTCTCTATTCCACACCAAACCAAGTACTTTTATGACAGTAGATCTTTTTATTCTTAATAAATCATTACTTGTTTATTTTAAAGTTTGTATCGCATCCAAAGGTGGGCGTTATTGACTGCGCCACAGTGTTTCACTAATGCAGTAATTATCAAACACATTTGAATTACTGTAATCTGTCGTCAGTTTTAAATAAAGAATTTATTTATTTATTAAGTCATCAACGTAGTAGTCTCTCTTTGTTATCTAAGCTGCTAAAGGAAATCTAGATTGTTCTACATCTGCTATTTTTTTAACCGTCTTGATGGCTAAATATGGTGCGCATGCTGTACCAAAGGTTGATCGTAAAAGCTTGTACTCCTTAAGTGGTTCATTGATTTGTGGTCTCCACACGAATCTTTGGTAGTCTGTATCTCCATTAGATACTCGTTCCATTCTATACATCTTCACGATGTCTGCAACGATATAAATGCTATGCTCTCGCCACCACATGAGTACCTCTTAAGTCCTGTTGTAATTTTGGACCAACCAAAAGGTTGTCATTGTTGTCAGTCAGATGTGTGTAATTTCGTTGATGGAATTAACGTTACCGATCTCAAAACATACGCATTTACTTTTAATAAAATGCCTGGGTATCCATAATTGATCCAAATTCTCTAGTCTAGTCTCCAAATATGGTTTTTTAATACGGTCTTTAGACGTTTTTTTAAAGGTTCTTGCCGCTTTCTTCAAGTTTTCTAGTAATTCTTTCTGATATACCATTTTCATGTTGGAGATACAAATACGTACGCGTAAAAACATTGAAACTTCGAAATCATAGCAAATAGATAAAAACTTGAATGATTATTTTGCTATTGGTTTGCTTAAATTTATTTATTTATTTATTTATGGTTTGGTGCCAATCGTAACATTGGTACTTAATAATAATAAATTACATGTGCTAGAATTGGCTAATGTTCAACCAATTTAAGCAAACACAACATGCATAGTGTTAATAAATGAAAACAGGAAACATATGTCTAATTAAAATCCGAAAGCATACGAGCGGGAATCAAAGCGACCTCGCAACAGGCACCACCTCAAATCATACAAACAAGGTTGTTGGCATGCTCCGAGGGCACCACATACACCGGACCGCCCGACACCCCGACAGAGACAGAGGCGTAACTCGACGTTGGCAAGATAATCCGCTCAGGAATGCTATTCTTCTCCCGATACAGCGGTCGTCTTTGAAAATCATAAAATCTGGTTCGAAAATGGACCATATGTTTGAGGTAATAAGGTCTTTATCTATAAGCAGGAGATCCGAAGGGATTGTCAACCCCGTCAACAGAAAAAAAATTAAACAATTGGGAGCATGATCAATTTTTCTGTTTCTGAGTGAAATTTATCTGTAATGCAATATTTAAATATGTTTATTAACAGTCTAGTTACAAAAGCAAGGCTCTGCCAAGTTTGGGATCAGCCTGCCGCGTGTGAGATGTGTTAAGTTATTATTATTATTATATTTTATTCAATTTTCACTAACTAATACCAAACATACACGAAGCATGTCACTCATGTTCTTAGCAGGCTTTCAAAACATTCTCAAGCCCTTCGTCTAAAATTCTCTTATTTTTCTTTTCTCTGCTGATTTCAGGTTTTATAGGAGAAACGATGCGCAAAGAGGAAAAGAGACTTGCCACTCCAAAAGCGGTTTGGAGATATGGTATGCTGCAAGTGAAGAGTAGACTGCTATATCATATTCTCTCCTGGTTTCTCTTATACATACCAGCTTACATCCTGGATTTCGCCTGCTTTGTAAGCGGCAAGAAACCAAAACAAATTTCCTCGTTAGTATATTTTTATTTTCATAATTAAGATTGTTTTGCACTAAACACTTAGTTTAGGATTGCATAATTTCCAATATTACATACACATCAATCACACAAGGGTTTAATCACCTACTATTTTCATGCTGTAGGAAAACCTATAGTATGTACTAAGTCTCAACCGCGTAAGGGTACAATTCCCTACTACTTTCAGGCTGTAGAAAAACCAAAGATGCGGGACAATAACAAAAAAGAGTTTTTTCGTAAACAATAGTAGTGATACCTTCTCGGTTTTTCATCAAAATATTGCTGGAGCTCTGAATAAACTCCAAGATCTTGATATGGCTATTCATGAACTTAACGAATCAGGTTTAAACATTAAAGTTGTTTGTTTAAGTGAACATTTTATAAGTGAAGGTGAAGAAAATTGTAATTGTGAAAATTGTAAAATAAGCTTGTAGCATTTTACTGTCGAAAACAACGTCGAGGTGGCACTTGTATACTTTGCAAACATAGATATCAGTGCACTGAAATAACTGAGATTAAAAATATGAGTATTGAGAAACAATTCGAAATATGTGGTGTTGAAATTAAAAACAGTAACGTTGTTGTAATTTGTGTATACAGAACTCCGACCTCAAACATAAACATATTTTTTGAAAACTTTGAAAAATTGCTTATAAAAATACAACATAAAAAATGTAAAGTTGTAATTGCTGGGGACTTTAATATTAATTTTTTGCAAAATGATAGTAATAGCATTAAATATAATGAACTCATCTTTGATTATGGTATGCAATGTCATATTACCGAGCCGACACGAACAAATAAATGCATTGACAATATTGTTAGCAATATTCCAACAGCGATTGGAAAAACACTTATCCTTTGTCTATCAGATCACAATACTGCTCAAGTTTTGGGATTCAAGTGTCAAAGTATTAATGCCATAGCACATTATTTTGTAAATAAAACTGATCTTAGTAAAGAAAATATAAATAAATTTGTTGAATGCATAAGTGGTTTGTCCTTTTCAGAAATATATGAAGTTTCTCAAGCCAATACTGCGTTTGATAGGTTTCATAATTTATTAATACTATTTTATAAGCTATGTTTCCCTATCATTAAAGTTAAAAAAATCTACAAAAGTAATAATATAAAATGGCTAACTAAGGGACTTAAAATTTGCAGAAAAAATAAGAGAAAACTAAGATTTGCATACTACAACAATAAAACTGTCGAGAATAAAAATAAATTTAAAACGTATTCAAAAATACTAAGAAAGTGCATTAATCAATTACAATCAACCAGTCACAAAAAGTATATTGCCTACTCTAATAACAAGTGTAAAGCTACTTGGAATGTTGTTAAACGCAATATTGGTAACCAACCATGTATCGATAGGATTGTTAACAATAACGCTACAATAGTTTCGGGACCCCATATAGCTAATGTATTAAATAATTACTTTATTGAAATTGTAGAAAAGAATATAATACAAAATGAGAAAAACACTTCCACTTGCATCAACTGTAATAATTTAAATAATAATAACAATGAACATAGTATATTTGTAGAACCCACAAATGCAATAGAAGTCTACAATATAATTAAATCACTGAAAAACACTAAATCGTCAGGCCATGATGATTTCAGCACAGAACTAATTAAACTCATATCTCAGTTCATATCAGAACCATTAGCGTACATAATAAATTTATCACTTGAACAAGGCTGTTTTCCAGAGAACTTGAAGTTATCTATAATAAGACCTTTACACAAAAAAGGTTCCAGAACTGATAAAAATAACTATAGGCCAATAGTTCAGGGCTATTGGCCTATAGTTATTTTTATTTCTTATTATTATATATTATCCTCTATTTCTTCTAAAATTTTTGAAAAGGTAGTGAATAAAAGGGTGATTAAATATGACATATTGGGTAAAGAACAATTTGGGTTTCGAAAGGGTAAATCTACTCAACATGCAATATTTTCTCAAAAAAATACCATCTTTCGTTATATTTTTAGATTTAAGCAAAGCGTTTGATTTTGTGAGCCACGATGTACTAATTCAAAAAACTGGATAAAAATGGCGTAAGAGGTATAGCCTTACAATGGATGGATTCATATTTAAGCAAACGAAGACAAATTACAAGAATAACAAAATTCAATAGTGCCACTAATTGTTTACAATATTTCGATTCGGAACCTAGGTTTAACTATTACGGAGTACCGCAAGGGAGTATTTTGGGGCCACTACTATTTCTTATTTACATCAATGATCAAATGCAAAATCGCAAATCTGTGCTATTTGCAGACGATACTACAGTGTTAATAAGTGGTAATAATTTAAATTCATGTGAACATGAAGTAAATGAGACACTTCAGAATATCATCAAATGGCTTGATACGAATCATTTAAAAATTAATATAGATAAAACAAAACTTATTCATTTCAGAACAGTAAAAATAAAACAATTTGATATTTCAGTTAAATTTAATGATCAAGAAATAGAACAAATACAGAGCACAAAATTTCTAGGTGTTACAGTGGACGAACATCTGACGTGGAAGTATCACATAGAAAACGTTTGCAAAAAGATGAATAAGTTTGTGTTTGCATTAAAAAAAGTCAAAGAGGTTGCTTCAAGGGAGACTGCTTTCATGGTCTACCATGCATATGTTTGCTCCATAATTCGTTACGGCATTATTGTTTGGGGTTACTCATCAGAAATAACGCGAGTATTTTTAGCGCAAAAGAAATCGCTTTGTGCAATATTCGGTTTGAAATGGACAGATTCATGCAGGCCTGTTGTATCTCATAATCTGTTGACCGTCCCTGGCATATTCATCTACGAAGTAGCTAAATTCGTGAAGTGCAATAAAGAGCTCTTTGAAGTCAAGGACAATACCAACAAACGTAAAAATACTCACTCGTATTTTAAATTACCAGTACCTCGCCTAGAAATTTTTAGGGTGAGCTGTGTTTACATGGCACCACTTATCTATAACGCGTTGCCGGAGAATATTGCAACTCTTCCTTATCACAGATTTTGTACTTCGTTAAAAAATTGGCTAATAGCAGAGTGCTTTTACTCCGTCAATGATTTTTTTTAAAAGCACTCTACTCAGTCATATCACTTCAGAAATGCATTAGTGTAGTAATTATTTTTGATATTTCAATTGCAATGTAATGTAATTTTATTTTTATTTTATTTCATACTTTTACCTGTACAATTTTAAAAATTTGCATGCTATCTAAATATAGCGAAATGTGTCTTGTGCTTTAAACATTGTAAACCACCTACTGTGACTACCACATTTTCTGCAAATAAATATATTATTATTATTATTATACACGATTTTATTGCGGTTTTGTAGGTTTTTAGCTTTGTAGTTAAGCCATGAAAGCCAAATTCACTTTCACATTTATAATATAAGTATCTATTTCCGTATAACGGGCACTTCAGGAGTACGATGAGAAAATTGGTGTGATGACAGATTAAGAATATGGAGTGCCACTACACTGGTAAATGTGCCTCCGCCGCCCGGTTCTTCGGCGGCAAATTGAGTCCGAGTGGAGATGGGTGGAGTGGTTCCGTCGCCTCTTTCTGCGAGATGCATATGACCGCCGGTAGCGAGTGCTGAGCCAAGTCCTTACTGCAATCGCAGAGGTGAAGCGACCGAGTGCAGATATTTTACGTAGTAGCTGGGCCCGGAAAAGACCTGGTCAGCCGGAAGGAAAGGGTCACGTGCTGCCGCCTTGCCCATTCAACGATGACCGGCTCGAGCGCCTCCATGGTGGTAAAGCCAGCACGTGGAGCTTCAAGCCGGGACGACGAACGAGCTATCGTAGCTCGGCGAGCGGCCTCACGCCACTCCCATATCTCCCGTCAAGAATCAGGCCCAGATACTTCATCTGGGCCTGAACCGTTACGAGGACCGACTCGACCACGATGGAGGCGTCAGGGAGCATACCACTCGTAAGCCCAGCGCCTCAATGCGCCCGACCACCAGAGAGACTCCCCTGGTAAATTGACACAAACCCTTTACCAACCTGGTCTCCTGTAGGTTATGTTTACTAGTTCATGTATTTGTGTGTGTGTTTCTATCTGTAAGGTGTTTGTGTAGTATGACAAAGCCTACCACTTGATCAGTTCATCATTTAGTAATTCTTCCTTTTGAGAAAAAAGGTTACAAAAAACGTGGAAGAACCATGCACGTACGATAGGAATGTTTAGGTACCACGTAATCTCAGAAAACCGGTGTTGAACGAATCTTTTCCTACATTTTTCACCGATTTAGTGAGGTAACACAAGATTACCTTCAATTCGGAAGGGAAGGGGCACCTAAAGTCTGATAAAGCACTTGTGTCTCTAGTGGTGGTCCCTGGGAACCAGATGGATCACCCATCTGTTCATTTCTAGAACATATTAAGAAATATGTGATTATAAAGGAATGACAAAATAATATGTATTTTTTTTTTTCAGATTCGTGGATCTTTATAAAAAATTAGAGAAACTATCTGTTGTATATGAATATTTTCTACAAAAGTCATTTACTTTTAGAGAAGACAACGTTAAAACTATGATGAGCAGAATGAATGATACTGACAGAGCTATATACAACTGCAATCTATCTGACGTTGACTTAGAAGATTATATCCTAGTATGGGGCATTGGCCTTAGAAAATATATCTTGAAAGACGGCCTCACAGGGACCAAATCAGGTATTAGAAAACAACAAATATTTGTAGTCCTAGATACAATTTTGATGGCTTTGTATGCTTACGTTTTATGGTGGATCTGTTCATCGGTTTATTTCTTTATCAAATACATAATATTATTGTTTTAGCACATTGGTTTCATTTTAAACCTAGAAGTAAGTATCTAAAGAGACCTAACTCCTGTCTTAGTATCGACGATCTCCAAGCTTACGATCTCTAAACAAAAAAAAACATCTCCAACCCCTTACAGGCCCTGTGATTCCTGAAGGCCAATTCTCGTAATAAAAGTATGGTCAAAATGCAGTTACTTGTAGATGTTCATGGGCGGCGGTGGTCACTTGCCATCAGGTGACCCGTCTGCTTGTTTTAAAAATAATATATATATATATTATTTTTATTCAATTGAGGAACAAACAGTCATTTACATTTAAAAATTAAACATATTTGTATGTACTTATAGACCTCATAGTTCCCTAAGTTAATAGAACATCTAGATCATGTTTGTATAAGATTACAATCCAAAACATTTTAATAAATTTTTACATTTTTGTCAGAGGCGAGAGCAGTCAGATCTTGGTCAAAACAAAAGAGATAATTTGTTAAAAAAAAATTAGAAAAAAGATAATCAAGAAAAGATTTTAAGGCAACAAAGAGTCCGTTTCTTGAAGGAATCAAGAAGTAGATAAATAATATCAACTTCACGTGTAGCATCGTACAAACGGTTGAAATCTAATAAAACTATTACTATTATTATTATAACTATTACTATTGCATCTATTGTATGCCCATAACTATATATATGTAAATACCGATAGCTATATCATCTATATAATGTACCTATGATCTACAATAAAAACTACTTACTTACTATAGTGAGGTAGTTGCCAATGGAGCAGGGAATAGTTTCCTTTTACGGCAGTTTCTTACTCGTCTGCCCGGAATTTATTTTTGGTAACAATAAAGTGGAATCTACATAGTTATTTAATATTTTGTACAAGCAAGTAACATCACAGAATTCCGTTCGATATTTCGATAACGTTACGTTATGGTATTTAGCAGACGTTTCGTAGTCTTCATGTATGTGCCCAGTGCGGAAATGGAGAGCTTTGACAAATTTACGCTGAATCCTTTCAATTTATATCGATGTGAATTTGATAATGAGGCTGCCAGACTACAGAAGCAAATTCCAATCCACTTCGCACATAAGCGTTGTACAACGACTTATAGGTTAACAAATTTTTAAAGGGTTTACTAACCCTCAAGATGAAGCCCAGTTGCTTATAAGCTTTTTTTATGGGTTTATCTATATGAGGAATGAAGGTTAATTTGTTATCCAAGATAACTCCTAAATCACGAACCTCAGTGACTCTACCCAAGACCATTCAATCTGTAATCGAAAATGATAAGATGAGATTTTCTAGAAAAGGTGATCACATGACATTTGTTTGTATTGAGAAATAAGTTATTGTTTTGACAGAAAAATTCAAAGTTATTCATATCGCCATGCACACCAAGATTCCAAAGCTTAAATGGTAGGGTATTCGCGCAATTTATAACCTCAATTATAGGCAGTCACTGAGGGATAAGTTTAAAGAAATAGGTGTTATGACAGTCGCATCTCAATATATATACTATATGAAAAGTTGTGTATGGTAAGAAAAATATTCACCTTTTTCACAAAGTTTAGCGACAATCATATTATAAACACTAGAAATAAAGATAAATTCGTGTTGCTAACGACTAGACTACAAAGAGTAAGCAAGTCTTTTCGATGTCAGGGTCACACAGGGGGGGTCTTCCACCCGCCGTAGATGGCCCGAGGTACGTCGGGGCACCAGGGATTTCCTTTCTAGGGTACACCTGGTTCCCCGACTACTGGTACCTGCTGCTCACTCCTACATTTGAAAGTGATGAACATTTAATTTTTTGTTGTAATTCGTATTTCGCTTGTTTTCAATTTGTTTATTTGAAATTAAATCGTATGGTATATTTTTTTTTTGTGTAAGTATGTAAATGTGAGTATAGTGTAGGCTTGTAATGCTAGTTCATATGTATTTTAGCAACTTTCTGGTGTTTTTGAGTGTTTCCACGGCCTTACGGCTCAAATGTCCTGCTGGCGATAGTGTCGCGTTCCAGGTTGTTGATCCTGACTATATCGGTTAGGCTATACAATGGCTGGGGCTCGTATGCCGTCTGTATGGACGGGCCGACTCAATACTATGGTCCTTTCTTCAAAAGCCAACCCAGACCCTATACTGCACTCACATAGTTGTCTTTAACATGGACACGGACTTAAAATAAAAGACACCTCTGTGGCTTGGGTAGGTGAGTCTTAGGAAATGCCGGCGACGTCTAGCTGTAAAGTCCGACTTGTAAAAATATTTGAAAAGATTTACTTGCAGAAATAAATATTTCATATAAATTGTAATTAGGGATTAAAATAGTTTATTGTAGGTATAGTAATTAAAACCAGTGTTTATAGATAAGTCAGAGTTTAGTTCATTTTGTTACTAGAATTGTAATATAATTTTTGATTTAGAGGTTTGACTTGGAAATCACATGTAAAGACTAATTATTTTTTGCTTTTGAGTTCTGGGTGTACCAAACTGTACCAAATTTTTGTTAGCGTTATTTTATCAAACTTAAGATGAGAACAAATTTAATGATGATAAATATCCTATGTCAGTGCCGATTTTTAGGGTTCCGTACCTTAAAAGGTAAAAAAGCTTATAAGAAAATTAACGTAAAATCTGGGTAGGTACGGAACCCTCGGCGCACGAGTTCGACTTGTACCTGACCGGTTTATTTTTATTCTTAGATACTTATCGTAGACAGTCTTCCCCCTTTCGAGTCGCCCCCCTTGGCTTTAAGTCTAGTACGATACGGCTGAACTTCGATTTGCCTGAGAGCCTTACGAATGATTACTGCCGTGCAGCGAAATATATGTCCGTTTCAACTTTATTTCTTTAAGGGTCACAGTGTAGACACACAGACAGTGTAGCTCTCTTTTGCAACACAAAGATACTTTGAACGTCATCAGCATTTTGCCACAACAAGATACCGTATGACATTACACTACGAAAATAGCTAAAATACACTAGTCTAGCTGTTTCTACATCGGTTAATTGGTGAATTTTATAAACTGCGTATGCTGCAGAGCTGAGTCTATTCGACAATCCATCAATATGTGGGCCCCACTGCAATTGGTCATCCGCAGTTAGCACTATCTCCTGATAATCTTTTATCAGATAAGGTAGGTTATTTATATAAACGAGAAACAAAAATGGGCCCAGAATTGAGCCCTGCGGAACCCCATAGTGACCAGACACCCGAGGGACCTCTAACCATTAACTTCTGAATTATAATTTTCTATTTACTCAATAACAATGTGACAGCTACTCTCATAACCTGTTATCTATTCATTTAAATAAATATTATATGTACTAGACACCTTACTGATGTGTTTGAAGTCGGTGCTAAGTCCAAAAACAATACCTATACTCATATGATAACAAAAACAATGCTTATACTTAGTAAACTATACCGGATACATAACAGAAGCCCAAAATCGATCTAAGTGGCATACAATGGGAGAGGCCTATGTCCGGCAGTAGACTGCGATAGGCTGATGATGATGACATAACAGAATATTCTTAAATTCGAACAATTAAATCTCTCTGAACATGTGGTTGCTGATGTGGCATGCAAAATTTACAATAAAAAACTTTAGAAGGAATATCTATCCCCTATCTGATTTAAAACCTTCTAAAATGTGAAGTAAACCCCATGATGAACGAGCATTAGAAGAAATGCACCGATTGAGAAATCTCATTTTTATATACATATATAGATATTTTAACCTACTTTTTTTGAAGTAGGTTAAAATAAAAGTTTTTTTGTGAAAAGAAAATGTATTTTGTATATATTATATGGGTAGGACAACCAACGAGACAGAGGTTTCGGAGTAAACAAAAATATCATCGATGTATACAATTTTTAGATTTATGTCGATTTTTTAATAACCGCTATACCGATTTCGTTAGGATTTAAATGGGACTACTTGAGCAGCATACCCCTTGAAACAAAAAAGAATTTTCCAAATCAGTGCAGGCATCTTCGAGTAATCGGTGAATTTAGAACCTCCACCTTTTTTGAAGTCGGTTAAAAATCGAAACTGAATACAAATACCAAGAAGTAGAAATCAAAGAACAAGGATAAGTTTGAATTTCAATGACCACAATAATCAATTGATTACGGCACACAAAAGTCAGGGAAAATAAGTCAACGAAACCACAAACGATGATGAATTCAAAAAATAACATAATATTCACATCCGTATTCTGCATTTGCATCCTCAAATTTCTGCAAAATATTAAATGTACTGGTGAGAACAATGTTTGGTTTCATAGGGATAGTGCAACTTGCCACACATCTCACGCCACAATCGATTTATTGCGTCAAACTTTTGATGACCGTTTAATTAGCCGAAATGGTAATGTCAAATGGCCGCCAAGAAGCTGCGATTTGACACCGTTGGACTATTTTTTTGTGGGCGCCGTTAAAGGCAAGTGTTATGCCGACAAACCAGAGACAATTGAGCATTTGAAGGTCAACATTCGTGATGCCATTGCCGAGATACGAGCCCATACACTCGAAAAAGTGCTCAAAAATTGGTACGATCGAATGGGTAATGTGAGGCCAGCCGCCGCAGCCATATGAATGAAATAATATTCCATTTCAAAAAATAAATTTGGCAAAATTTCAAACCGTTTTTAAGCTTTTCCGTAACGAAAAAAAACCTCACGCTAAAAACAAAACAAAAAACAGTACCAAAATCAAATGCTGAACGTCAAAGGAAATTTCGTCAACATAATGCAGAAAATTTTTACATGGATATGTAATTTGATTTAATAATAATATTTTTTATTAATTTTTTTCAAAACAAATTGTAATATATGCTTCAATATTTTTATTTAATAAAAGAAAGAAAAAAATGTTTTCTTATCGGTCACCACGCTCAAAAAGTGTAACTTGAATTAATATCAAAGAAAAAGAAATACTGCATAAATAAAATAAATAAATAATTATAATTGCATAATAAATAAAATAAAAATAAAATAAAAATAAAAAAGCCTTTTATTTCTTACAGAAAATGCTAATTTACAAGTTTATTAGTTTTGTTAGTGTCAAGAAAAATTTTTTTGTAGTTTAATGATTAAT